CAATTAAACTACCAGAATGTCTTTAGAGTGTGGGAGGAAACCAGAGTACCTGGAGGAAATCCACACAAGCACAGGGAGGACATACAAACTACAAAACACAGAACATCCCTAGCTCACCTGCCAGCTAGCCTGCAACCAAACAAATTGCCCTGTCAACAGTATGCGTTAAAATCAGAGCTTTTAGTTGCACAAACTTTTGGCCAAAAATATGTAGAAGCCACACCGCCGCGCCAAGGCACCTCTGCAAGGTGTGGTCCTAACTCTATGTATGTGAGTCTCCAAGTGTGAGCATATTAATGCAGTCGATACATTGCATGCAGGTGTACCAGGAGGTAGCCAACTCCTCCTAATAAGGTGCAGGGACGCACTGGAGGCCCAGCAACCAAAAATGCGCGCTGGGACTCCAGTGCGTCCTCTCAACGAAAAATAGTCAAACTAGAAAAAACATGTTTTTTTCTAGTTTGTCACATTGTCACAGGTCGGCTAGGACATACAAACTCCTTGCAGATATTGACCTGACTGGGATTCGAGCCAGGGACCCCCATCTTGCTAAACATGCCTTTAATAGTGGGTGCTCAGCATTAAGAGCCCATTTACATTTGTGTGGTGCAATAATGCATGTGCGTTTGTCACATATTAATGACCATTGCATTAAAGTGACACTAAATTCAGGAGTTAAATCTTAAAAATACATTCAAGTACCCCTAACTATTAACAAAAATGTATCTTATTTGTGTATCACTCGGCTATAGATGCTCAAACCACTTGCTCACACATCCGTTTGCAGACATGGAGATACCCCACTATGTTTAGACTGGTAAAAGGTTTGTGGTGAGAAACACAGGAAAGGATTGGACATTATAGAAAACTATTGTTATCTATGCAGTATTGTATTTTCTATTTCCAATGAGCCCTTTGTGGCTCCTCTATCTCATTCCAAACTTTTACCAACAGAAAATGGAGATGCCTATGTCAACCTGGCCTAAAATTGTTCAGTGATATCAACAGATCCTCAGGGTAAGAATGGTAAATCAACAATTCACACATTTTTCACTGGCCTGAATATTAACATGGAAATCTATCTAATCTGTGAAAAATGGACACGGTTCTCAAGTCTGCACATTTCTAATTGATTAACTGCATGTTATTTCCACATGTTTCTTTCTTTGGACAGATCCGCTTCAATATATTAAGATCAATAAAAAAAATCTAAAAAAATTCTGTTTAGTGGATCAATTCACTCACTCCAGCTCATATAAGATTATACTGATTTGTGATTGAGCCAGCATTTGTCAAGCAGAGTTCCGTGGAGTGAGCTGTGGCAGATTGCTCTTCTGTGCGTAGTTCCAAGGCTGACATCGCGTAGCAGAGTCAACGCCATAGGCAAGTGGAGCCTTTTGTCTATCAAGTAGGTAACAACTGACATCAATGTTCTTTTTATTTTTCTGTAATTTTTCCCATTGACCACCAATGTAAGGGTCATTCTCAACTGACTACCAATGTATGGGGACACTACACTGACCACCAAAATAAGGGCCATTCTGACCACTGGACACCAAATGCAACAGGGCATTGATCTCACTGAGCAAAAAAGTAAGAGTGTTTTTCCTCCTACTGACTACCAATGTGGCACCTCCCCCACTGACCACCAATCTAAGCAGTCTCTCTACTGACCATCTAGGTAAGGGGCCATTTTTCACTGACCACCAATGTAAAGGGGGCACATTTCCAATGACCACCACTGTAAGGGCCATTTTTCCTACCAACCATTAGACCTCATGCACACTGTACTAACTGGGGCCGTACACATCCGTGTGGTGTGCACACCCGTATCGATCTGTTCCCACGAGGGACAAGTGCTGTATGAGATTACACGCAACAGCCTGTTCTTCCCTATAGGAGGACGTGGCCGTGCACTGTCATACGGACACCCGAACTGCACATCCGTGTGGGTCTGGGTGTCCATGCTCGGATGCAGATAGGATCTATCCTGTCTGTGTCCAAGCAGGAACACCCGTACCCGCATGGATGTGCAGTTCGGCTGTGCGTATGACAGCATATGGCCACGTCCTCCCATAGGGAAGAACAGGCTGTTACACACAGCACCTGTCCCTCCCGTGTGCGCAAAAATTTGCATTTTTATCAGTTTCCATTGAAGTCTATGGGGCAAAAATGCACTGTTAACCGCCCAAAGAAGCTCATGTACCTTTTCGGACGTTTGGTGTTTTGCTGCTCAGGTGTGAATAGGGGCCATTGAAAGTCATGGGATTCTTGTATTGGGCATTTAAAAGTGCTTTTCCATTTTATATATATATATATATCTATATCTATATATACATATAGATATATATAGATATAGATATATATATATATATACATATATCTATACAGTATATATATATATATACACAGTATAAATAATACATACATACATACACAGACCTGAGGCATCCTGGATTCCCATCTCTTCAACTGTCCCTTACCTTTTCCAGCAGGGATGCAGTAATGTGACGACCCTCCCAGCTTTCTGATTGAATGGGACAGAATGTAAGTGGGAAGTGCTGCTGCGCTCTGTATTGCTGAGCCGGTCACAGAGAGATATTTGTGATCTCTCCACCAGCTCTGTGACTAAAAACAGAGCCCGCTTTTGCAGTTTCGCTGTTGCGCTCAGGGTTATAAGGGTGTTCCCAGGCACACCAGGCACACCCTGCGTGCACACCTATGTACTTTTTCACTGCCCATCAATGTATGGGGAAACTTTCCACTGACCACCAATGTATGGGGAAACTTTCCACTGAACACCAATGTATGGGGAAACTTTCCACTGACCACCAATGTATGGGGAAACTTTCCACTGACCACCAATGTATGGGGAAACTTTCCACTGACCATCAATGTATGGGGAAACTTTCCACTGACCACCAATGTATGGGGAAACTTTCCACTGACCATCAATGTATGGGGAAACTTTCCACTGACCACCAATGTATGGGGAAACTTTCCACTGACCACCAATGTATGGGGAAACTTTCCACTGACCATCAATGTATGGTGAAACTTTTCCACTGACCACCAAAGTACGGGGGTTCTTTTCCACTGATCACTAGTGTACTGTAAAGTACTGTTAGCAGGGGTTCCCTGATACCTGAAAAATATTTATTTATAATCTTCACATAATTTTCAGGGAGAAAGTTTCTACTGATAGCAGTTAAAGGAGAACTATGATGCGAGTGCTTTTCACTCACCTCATAGTTCTAGCCGACCTGTGACAATGAGACTGTCACAGGTCGGCTCAGTAGATCGGGAGGTGAGCGAACACATACCGGCGTTCGCTCACCTCTCGATCAGGTCACGGCTCTCTGCCGTGACAGGGGAGGGGCTGGATTCCCCCCTCCCCACTCTGATCCGCCAGCGCTGACTGGCGGAATGGACGGGGGAGGGGGCGGGTACAGCTGGCTCTGCCTCTAGATAGGCAGAGCCAGCTGTCAGTCACGCAGCTGGGCGGATCCCGGCACAATTGTCGGGATCCGCTTCAACTGCGGCGTCTCAGTATACCGCGAGCAGCAGCTTGCGGTATACTGCGGCGTCTCAGTATACCGTGAGCTACAGCTCGCGGTATACTGAGCCTAGGGTGACGGGAGGATGCTAGTTTGTGTCCTCCCGTTACCCTAAGGAGAACTATGGGGAAAAGCCTTAACCCCATGGTTCTCCTTTAAAGCAAAACTAATGCCAGTTTTTATAGTATTGGATTGAGTGGAGAGCAGGGGCGGACTGGGCCGGGGGGCAGGGTGGCAATTGCCCCCGGGCCTCTCCGATGCCGTCACGTACGGCCCCCGTGACCCCCACTGTCGCCGGCATCCGATGCGGCATCTGTGATCGGCGGCCGCTGGGTCCTCGGCTTCTCGGGCTGCCCTCTACACTGCCTGATTAGAGGGCCGCTTCTGCTTGATCTAGCTGGATGAGGCAGGAGAGGCCCTCTAATCAGGCAGTGTAGAGAGGAGAAGGCGGGGGGAAGAGGCAGAGCGGGAGTGAGGCCAAGTTGCTGCACCATGGGCCTCTAGGTTGTACTTGCCCCCTGGGCTAAAAGTTGCCAGTCAGCCCCTGGTGGAGAGCATTAAAACACTATTCAGGTTTCTGTCAGTGTCCTTGTTAGAGAGATTTATTCACACCATCTGTCCTGGTGACCGCTGATACATAGAGTAAAAGGGAAAGAAAATCTTAAATTTTAATAGTTTTAACAGTAAACTTTTAGATGTCACCAGAACGGGAATAGATAAATCTCCCAATTGGGACACTAGTTCTGGTGACAATCAGGGATTTCTCTCACTTTGGAGGGATTTCCTGTCACTTCCAGTTGTGACTACTGGACAGGAAGCGAATAGAAATATCCCCAATGGGGCACAAATGGCAAGCAAAGCCCTGACAGGGGTTATAACACTCCCTTACGTCATCTAAGATTAAAGAAAAAGTGTTGGCTTTTGTTCCACTTTAATACAATGAAGATGCTGACTGGAGAATTAATTTACAATGCTCTGCCCTTTCTCTTACAACAAGCACTTATCTGATGTAGTAGCTCTGAGCTGACAAGTCATTTTCCTCCCCCTGATCTCTACTACAATGAAATCAAAAGTGCCAGGCATTGTACTAACACAGCCCCATGGAGATATTCCTCTGCCATGGCTTTGATTTCCCCCCCAATCCCCCTCACTGACATCTCCTGACACTGTTCTAATTACAGATCTGGGCGACAATCTCAACCAAACCTCTTGCAAAACTTTTCTTACACACTGTTGACTTCACCCTGCCAGCGAGTAAAGCAAGGAGACGGACAGGGCGAGGAGCCAATCAGCGAAGACTCTGTGCCTGGGCAGGGCGGGCGTCCTAAGAGATCGCGCATGCGCGGAGAGGCTTTGTGCTGTCCGGATCGGACTGTGCTGGGAGCGGAAAGTGATACAGTGTAGCAAGTGGTGCGGAGTGTCCTATTGTGTTCCCTTCCAGAGCGGATACCGAGCGGCATGTGTCATCGTGCGATGTGAAATCGGCAGAGCGGAGGAGCCATGCCCGGGGAGGGTCGCCGCCTGGACACACTTGTTGCTGGATAAGCAGGAGGTGAGCTAGGCTCCGGGGCTGTGGGGGGAGGGTGGGCTGTGTGATGTCTTGTACCGGGTCACAGATCGGAAGAGGGGAATGAGCTGTGTGTGACCCGATCACCATGATGGCAACTTTGTACTTCCAGCGGAGGGGTCAGGGCTCAGTCCGGGGTCACAGCAGCACCCCCTTCCACTCTGTTAACCATTCCACTGCCAAACCTTCTGGATTCCAGTCTGCTCTATTGTTAATCATCATCGGGACTCCTAATTACTGCTGACAAGTTGCAACTCAGGTTTGAAAAAGTTTTTCTTAACCCCTGTGTGACCACGATACTTCTGAAAGAGGAATTTCATCCTGCCTAGGGAAAACGAAATTGCCCCCAAAAAGTCTCAACTCCGGGAATTTAAAAAAAACAACTATTCTTGCAAGGCTTCCCCTGCTGCTGCACTACTGCAAGGGTTAAATTGTCATTAAATGACTCCTCGCTTCTGCACTGCAAGGGTTAAATTGTCATTAAATGACTCCTTGCTTCTGCACTGCAAGTGTTATATTGTTATTAAATGACCCCTCGCCCCACTGCAAGTGTTATATTGTTATTAAATGACCCCTCGCCCCACTGCAAGGGTTATATTGTTATTAAATGACCCCCTCGTCGCACTGCAAGGGTTATATTGTTATTAAATGACCCCTCGCCGCACTGCAAGGGTTAAATTGTCATTAAATGACTCCTCGCTTCCACACTGCAAGGATTAAATGATCCCTCGTTGCAAGGGTTAAATGCTCATTAAATGACCCCTCTCTGCTGCACTGCAAGCGTTTAAATGCGCATTACAGCTGGCCATACATGGCTTTAATTTCAGCCGATTTCTGATGCAACGGCCAAAATTCAAGCTGTAGGTGATCCTGGCGGCACCAGCCGGCTCCACGAAAGTCGAACCTAGTCACCTAGTCAGATGCAGTCACTGTTCAGGTATTCTGATAGCCGTGGCTGCCATCTGTCAGAATACAGTAGACAGCAGGGGAGATTCCCCCATTGGATAGGGGGATTGGAATGATTTCTGTCATTCAGCAGAGCTCACAGGGTAGATGAGTAATACTTAATTTACTCCTTGCTCCGGCGCTGTAATCTTCTCCAGATTGTGGGCGGACCCTTGAACGCCTTGTGTATTATGTGGGACTAATGGCACTGCATTGTAATTGATGACGTCACAGTGTGACTTGCAGCCAGGGTGTCTTAGGGAAGAGGCTTCGGGGACCCATTGCACAGATAGAGGGAGCGCTGGGTGGAGCACGGAGTAGGGTACACATGTGCAGACAGGCTGCAGATCTCCCCACATACTTGTATGGTGCCAGATTGAAGATGGGTCTTACCCCGTCCCTTGGTAAAACACGGCCTCCTGGGATGTGTGACGGGAACATCCCTGCGGAGGCTGATCCCTATGTTTTTGTCGCCTAGGTGAGGAATGGAGGAGTGGTGGGCCGCACCATGAATGTTGGTCAAAACATCTACCATTGTGCAATGGAGGCGGAGCAATGAGAGGAATTGAATCCCAGATACGCTTTGTCTGCAATGTCCTTTGCCAGGAGAAAGTTAAAGCAGAACTCCGCGCAAAAGTGTTCCTAACCTTTTGTATGGAGCTACCCCGCACTGCAAGAGTTAACTGCTCCTTTTTGTCTAGGGAGTAAAATAAAAAAAGGTTCTACTCCCCTGATCCTTGGAGCCGGCTTGCTCATAGACCGGTCCTTGGAGCCTGGCTCCCCCTCCGCTGCAGTGGTCTAATCCTTGTGTCATCACATTCTATATAGGTATATAGTGTACAGGACGTGAGGATTGCTGCAGCGGAGGGGGAGCCAGGCTTCAGGGACCCGAGTAGCATCCAGCCGGCTCTGCGGTTCGGGTCAGTATAACTGTAGTGCTGGGGTAGCCCCACTGCAAGGGTTAGGAATATTTTTTTGCGGAGTTCTGCTTTATTTAACCTTGCAGCAGGGAAGTTGGAATGTGCATCTGTGCGTGTTCCTAGTTCTCGGGCCTGATGTCAAACAGTCATAGAGGTAAAGGGACGCCAAACTCAGAAGGTAAATCTAACAAATGCGTTCTAGTGCCCTAACTCCTGAGTTTAGTGTCACTTTAATGTCAGGTTACCTTGGTTTGGTCAGAAGGGGTTAATCACGCCATGTCTGGCATATGGCGCCGCATGGACCTACAATATGACTTCTGTTTGTGTGCGTAGTGATGAACGTCCCATTAGAAGGACAATCTGTGGCTGAGATGATGTGACCTATATACCCAACTACGGCAATCCGATTGGCTGCTTGTTGGTAATTCTGTGATAAAGTAGAGACATGACACCATCATTTCTGAGCTCACCTTCTGAAAATGCTCCGTGCCTGGCTGTCTCACTGACCACCCTGCTCTAGTACATTGAGTCAGTGAGCCAGAGCCAGAATGCAGATAGGTCTTTGTTACTAGCCGTAGTAGAGTATTGTACCGTGTCAGCTGTCAGTTAATGCAAAGCGCCTGGAGTTAATACCCTTTATTGGAGGGGTAGCCAAACTGCGGCCCTCCAGCTGTAGGGGAACTACAAATCCCATGAGGCATTGCAAGATTCTCACAGCCCCAGACATGACTCCCGGAGAGAGATGCATCATGGGATATGTAGTTTCACCACAGCTGAAGGGCCAGAGTTTGGCTACCTCTCCTTTATTGCCTTAGAGGCATGCTGGGATTTGTAGTTTTACCACAGCTCAAGTGCCAACTTCTGGTCTAAGTTAATAAAGATGGAAGCTTTTGGGACTTTCAGAAGGCGTGACTCAGTAAAACAGTCAGGCACATAATATTTTCAGAAGGTCAGCAGAAATAAAAGGCTTACTTCATACATACTTGGCACATACTTGTTGCAGGGTCAGTGCTTCAGAATGTTCAGAAGACACGGTTTACTAAAGCAGTCAGGTACAAGGCAGGAATAAAAGGCACCGGCCGCCTCTCAGTGATGTGCGGCCCACATCTACAGGGCACAGAGTCGGTCATTAGAAGCACCAGCAACCTCTCGGTGATGTACGCCCCGCATCTACAGGGCACAGAGTTGGGCATTAGAAGCACTAGCCTCCTTTCAGTTATGTGCAGCCCACGACTACAGGGCACAGAGTCGGTCATTAGAAGCACTAGCCACCTCTCGGTGATGTGCGGCCCACGTCTACAGGGCACAGAGTCGGTCATTAGAAGCACTAGCCACCTCTCGGTGATGTGCGGCCCACGTCTACAGGGCACAGAGTCGGTCATTAGAAGCACTAGCCACCTCTCGGTGATGTGCGGCCCACGTCTACAGGGCACAGAGTCGGTCATTAGAAGCACTAGCCACCTCTCGGTGATGTGCGGCCCACGTCTACAGGGCACAGAGTCGGTCATTAGAAGCACTAGCCACCTTTCAGTTATGTGCAGCCCACGTCTACAGGGCACAGAGTCGGTCATTAGAAGCACTAGCCACCTCTCGGTGATGTGCGGCCCACGTCTACAGGGCACAGAGTCGGTCATTAGAAGCAGCAGCCACCTCTCCATGATGTGCGGCCCACGTCTACAGGGCACAGAGTTGGTCATTAGAAGCACCAGCCACCTCTCCATGATGTGCGGCCCACGTCTACAGGGCACAGAGTCGGTCATTAGAAGCAGCAGCCACCTCTCGGTGATGTGCGGCCCACGTCTACAGGGCACAGAGTTGGTCATTAGAAGCACCAGCCACCTCTCCATGATGTGCGGCCCACGTCTACAGGGCACAGAGTTGGTCATTAGAAGCACTAGCCACCTCTCGGTGATGTGCGGCCCACGTCTACAGGGCACAGAGTTGGTCATTAGAAGCACTAGCCACCTCTCGGTGATGTGCGGCCCACGTCTACAGGGCACAGAGTTGGTCATTAGAAGCCCCAGCTGGGCTGTTGTTGCCTAAGGCCAGGAGGACATGTGCCCTCCTTGCCCCTCAGCTTTGTAGGGTCCCTGGCATAGTCAGTAGTTTCTATAGTTTGGGAAATGAGTAACATTTTATTGTGTAGGTGCACTTTAAGGGTCTGGATTGTTAATAAATGTACAGTACACAAACAGAGGAAATTCTAACACATTTGAACAATACTCGGGACACTGACCTTTACACCCTGATATCATTTGTAGTTTTAAGTATTGTGTGTGAGATATGAAGTCCCTCTGTCAAGTGTTTATTACCTGGCAGAAAATGAGGGGAAATCCCAAAATTTACAGGTGTCCCCAGAACAAAAGTCGAGAGGGGAAGTGTCTAATGGGGACAACACAGAGGGGAACTCTCCTCATTTTGGAAGATTTTCTCTAACTTCCTGTTGCGTCTCTGGGACAGGAAGTGCAATCTCCTCAACGACTTGCATCCTGTGTAACAAGTAAATACAAATAATAATATCAGTTTTTGGAATGGGTGAGATTTCGTCAATCTCACACAGACCCTTTAGGGCCCCACCACATCTAAGCGTAGCATTAACCGATTAAGGCACGCTAGCGCACAACGCATCTAGAATGTGTTACCATGTGCTGGGTGTGTTGTGTTGCCATTCATTTGAATAACACTCCCAATGCACCTCCCAGCTGCCATGCACTGCAAGGTGCAGCACCACAATACAGTGCGTTGCGGCAAAAAAAAAATAGTGGTTGCAGTGCATGGTGGCTCAGAGGTGCGTCGGGGTGCCATTCAGATGAATGGCAATGCACTGCAACTACTGCATGGTAGCACCTGCTAGGTGCGATTGTGTGCGTTAGTCGCACCTAATGCTTACTGTTACACGAGGCAGTTAACCCCTAAAGCCCTGGAGGCTGCCTGGAGGATCCGGCATTGCTGAGTTGTTTTACACTAGGCAGCAGGACATTGGATACACTTCATTGGAGGTAAGTTATGTCCCCGGTGTTGTATGACAAAAACAACATTTAACTAGACTTCCACTTTAATTCTGCACTGAGGCACTTGCTGGGCATACCACAGTCCTCGTGGGGGGTGGGCGGCAGGGGG